AACAGCTAAAGGCAGAGTTACAGTCTTTTGGTGATGCTAATACTGAAAACTCCCAGCTTCGCAAACTCAATACTGCCCTGGAGACAAAATACACGCAGGTGAGCAATATGCATGATTACCAGAACCTTTTGTTAGAATTTATTATTGTGGTAATAACTGATGGGATGCTTCTTATCCAGGCAAACGCAGAACTTGGATCTTGCCGGATTCGCCTACAGAGAGCAGAAGCTAGACTTCAGCAGGTATGGAGTACTGGAAAGTCAGTCTCTTTCATTATGGAGATCACCAAAGTCCTACTAATGCTATGTGATAGACCTGTGTGGAAGTCAAAAAATGGATGTTTTTTTTAAAATGCTTGAGTTGTTTATACATGTTGTTAATGGATGCAGGCTCAGTCAGTGTTACTTCGTAAGGAGGAAGACTTCACACTTGCTATTAAGGCCAGGGATGAAACTCTGAAAGAAGAAACAAGATTGAGAGGGCAGTTGGAAGTTGCAGAGGAGAGAGAGGAGCAAAATGTGAGTATTCCTCCAGTCTGATCCTTCTATATAAAACTAATTTCATTCTATTTTTTACACCTTTCTTTCCATCCAATGCAGCTTATCTTATATCATTGTATTTCATTTCACTTTTGGTAGCCCCGGTGTTTTCTTCTACCTGCTGTGTATTATATCCATTGGGATTGGTTTTGTTTTATCTATGCTGTGTTAAATAAATCTAACCCGTGCTTCCCTGGTTTTGCATACTGTAATCTTTGCAATTACTTTTTTATTTATTTTTTTATTTAGTTTTGATCAAAATTCCAAGCATAACATATTGTGCACATACAGGGAGTGCAGAATTATTAGGCAAATGAGTATTTTGACCACATCATCCTCTTTATGCATGTTGTCTTACTCCAAGCTGTATAGGCTCGAAAGCCTACTACCAATTAAGCATATTAGGTGATGTGCATCTCTGTAATGAGAAGGGGTGTGGTCTAATGACATCAACACCCTATATCAGGTGTGCATAATTATTAGGCAACTTCCTTTCCTTTGGCAAAATGGGTCAAAAGAAGGACTTGACAGGCTCAGAAAAGTCAAAAATAGTGAGATATCTTGCAGAGGGATGCAGCACTCTTAAAATTGCAAAGCTTCTGAAGCGTGATCATCGAACAATCAAGCGTTTCATTCAAAATAGTCAACAGGGTCGCAAGAAGCGTGTGGAAAAACCAAGGCGCAAAATAACTGCCCATGAACTGAGAAAAGTCAAGCGTGCAGCTGCCACGATGCCACTTGCCACCAGTTTGGCCATATTTCAGAGCTGCAACATCACTGGAGTGCCCAAAAGCACAAGGTGTGCAATACTCAGAGACATGGCCAAGGTAAGAAAGGCTGAAAGACGACCACCACTGAACAAGACACACAAGCTGAAACGTCAAGACTGGGCCAAGAAATATCTCAGACTGATTTTTCTAAGGTTTTATGGACTGATGAAATGAGAGTGAGTCTTGATGGGCCAGATGGATGGGCCCGTGGCTGGATTGGTAAAGGGCAGAGAGCTCCAGTCCGACTCAGACGCCAGCAAGGTGGAGATGGAGTACTGGTTTGGGCTGGTATCATCAAAGATGAGCTTGTGTGGCCTTTT